CCTAACAATTATCTTTACAAATCATTCATATCATACATACCATTAAATTTCTTAAGTGTTATACGTACAAAATAAATAAATTTAAATCTACTTAATAAATATATATACACTCACACACACCATTGAACTTCATAGGATACAAATTCTACGAAACTAATTTGAATGATCCAACTGTCAAACTTGTTTGTATATCCATCGAGATCGCATCACCAAAAAATCATAAAAAAAAAACCATTCAGAGATCAAGTAACGGGACAAAACTTTTCGACGGTTATCAATGAAAAATCACGATTTAACGGTTATTTTAACTCCGATTTTGATGATTTTTTACAGCTACACTCCTTGACCCTATACGAGTACAATGAATAAACTTGATCTTCAATTTAAAATATTTACACTAGTGGATACCACAAAATCTTATGTTATACTTAATGAAAGTATGAATAAACTCTTAAGTGTTAGTAAATCTATTATTTTGATGGGATAAACATTCTATGAAACTAGTTTCAACGATCCAACCGTCAAACATGTTTGTATATACTTCGAGATCGCATACGCATAAAATTGCAAAAAACAAACATTCAGAGATCAAGTCATGGGACAAAACTTTTCGACGGTTATCAACGAAAAATCACGATTTAACGGTTATTTTAACTCCGATTTTGATGATTTTTTACAGCTACACTCCTTGACCCTATACGAGTACAATGAATGAACTTGATCTTCAATTTAAAATATTTACACTAGTGGATACCACAAAATCTTATGTTATACTTAATGAAAGTATGAATAAACTCTTAAGTGTTAGTAAATCTATTATTTTGATGGGATAAACATTCTATGAAACTAGTTTCAACGATCCAACCGTCAAACATGTTTGTATATACTTCGAGATCGCATACGCATAAAATTGCAAAAAACAAACATTCAGAGATCAAGTCATGGGACAAAACTTTTCGACGGTTATCAACGAAAAATCACGATTTAACGGTTATTTTAACTCCGATTTTGATGATTTTTTACAGCTACACTCCTTGACCCTATACGAGTACAATGAATGAACTCGATCTTCAATTTAAAATATTTACACTAGCGGATACCACAAAATCTTATATTATACTTAATGAAAGTATGAATAAACTCTTAAGTGTTAGTGAATCTATTATTTTGATGGGATACGCATTCTACGAAACTAGTTTCAACGATCCAACCGTCAAACATGTTTGTATATACTTCGAGATCGCATATGCCAAAAATTGCAAAAAACAAACATTCAGAGATCAAGTAATGGGACAAAACTTTTCGACGGTTATCAACGAAAAATCACGATTCAACGGTTATTTTAACTCCGATTTTGATGATTTTTTATAGCTACACTCCTTGACCCTATACGAGTACAATGAATGAACTCGATCTTCAATTTAAAATATTTACACTAGTGGATACCACAAAATCTTATGTTATACTTAATGAAAGTATGAATAAACTCTTAAGTGTTAGTGAATCTATTATTTTGATGGGATACGCATTCTACGAAACTAGTTTCAACGATCCAACTATCAAATATGTTTGTATATACTTCGAGATCGCATACGCCAAAAATTGCAAAAAACAACATTCAGAGATCAAGTAATGGGACAAAACTTTTCAACGGTTATCAATGCAAAATCATGATTTAACGGTTATTTTAACTCCGATTTTGATGATTTTTTACAGCTACACTCCTTGATCCTATATGAATACAATGAATGAACTCGATCTTCAATTTAAAATATTTACACTAGTGGATACCACAAAATCTTATGTTATACTTAATGAAAGTATGAATAAACTTTTAAGTGTCAGTGAATCTATTATATCCTTGCACATTTAATATTTTGTAATAGACTAGTAGTGTATGGATGTTTGTTTATTAGGCTCTTATTTTCAAGTGTAGATGTAGTACTTAAACGACAAATGTGTTTTAATGTTTTGAAGTAATATTTATGTGGCAATGTGTGGTATGTAAAAATTTAAGAAAAAAAATACATTTTTTCTTAACGGGTCATAACGGTTTGGGTCACTTTACCCGCCCGACCTGTTAAGGACCGGTTAAGATAACAGGTGTGACACGACATGACCCGTTAAGATAACAAGGGTTACATGAAAACGACACGAACACGACAGACACGACCCGTTTGCTAGGCCTAACCATAATCCATAAACTTTAGATTTATGTTTAACCATTGATTGTTGTTTACGCTTTATTCTGCTCACCGATTTTTTCATTTTTTTTTTAAACATGATCGTTTAGTGGATATAGAAAAATCAAAGCGTCAAATCGTTGATATCACGTTGCGATAGAAATAAACCTAGGGATAGAAATCGTTAAAATTATTTTTGAGCGGGAAAGACCCCGCCAAGTTTTTTCATAAATAAGAATTGTTATCAAACTGAAATCGGATGGCGCGAGAGAATAATATGGGAGGGAAGTCGGGATTAGCATGCAATTGGGAGGGAGATCATGAGGCGACAAAATAGGATTAGCATGCAACTGGGAGGGAGATCATGTGGCGGCAAAATAGGATTAGGAAGAAATGGGAGGGAGATCATGCAATTGGGGGATGTAGGTTTGGATTGCCTTGGGAAATTTATAAGTTTGTTCTTATAATTATATGTTATGTTTTTATAATGGATGATTACATACAACCGTATTCAAATTTACAATTGTAATTGACTAATTGACTAATAATTGATCATAACCTAAACCAAGTTATCTGTTGCTAGAAAGTAGTTTGGAGTCAGAATTGATAAGAAGAACTTTTTCACTACATGATCTAGATTTACAGTTTTACAACATAATTTTCGTATGAGAATATTAGTTAGTTTGCATGGAATGTATATGGAAGCGAACATAAAGAGATTGGGTTAAGTTGCAAGACTAATACTATAAGGAAGTTTTTATTTTTCCAAACACTCACATATTATGAAATCAAATTGTCAATATAGATTATTGATGGCATAAAACTACAATCCATAAATATGAAATGCTAGATATCTCTTTATCTATGCTCCCGTCCGTATAGAGAAACAAGAAAGATAGAATGAGAGCATAAATAGTCGCCAAGAGCTTTGATTGCGTTCCCCGGAAAAAAATGGAAAGGTGCACTGGTAAAAACCTATCACGTAGAGTTATTATTACCTTGCCGATGACATACTTTATTGCCTCTTTAATCAATTTGCCGATGAAATAATTTGTTGCCTCACATCATCGGCTAATATTTCAATATAACGGGAAAAGTTCCCGCCAAAGTTTACCCGTCAAAACAAAATTTGTCAGGGCATCGAATTTACGCCTACCAAATAATCGTCGGCTAACGTTCCAATTTTCTCAACTAAGATTGGTGTTATAAATTGATTCTATCGTGAGTATTTAGCCGACAAATTAAAATTTTCGTCGAGAAAGGACTCTTGTGCCGACAAAATTTTGCTTTGTCGGTTTATAATTTGTCGGCAAATTTATATTTTCTAGTAGTCCCAAGCCCAAAGCCGCCGGGAACAACACTGCTCATGAAAAAAACTGCAATCCCGCAGCACGTGTTGCGCTGTTTCACAAAGACCATCACATCTCGGGCATGAAACATGGAGCCTCACTCCCTTTTTTATGAGAGTTGATCTCGTCGCCAAAGCGTCGGTGCACACCCTCCAGCCACACACCTTCACTTTTGGCGGCACCTGTACCTTCCAAATTACTGGTCATAGACCACCGTATGCACTCCCACCATGAGAAGAAGAGGACGCCATTAATGACAGGGAAATGCATCCTGATCTTGCCACCATATATGCACTTTTGACGGAGAAGAGACACTTTTTATCATAATGCCACATCAGTCAATCTGAAGGCCTTCGTAGACTAAGTGGAATCGAACATATCAAACGAATCTCCTCCTCCAAAAAACGTCTGTTGTAGCAGTTCAACTCTCCAGCACATAACATCCGGTACAATCAAGTCCCTCACCCGGAGTATGAGTGAATATTATTACTGAACTTTCCTTTGATTGTTGTACTTTCCAAATTGTTAAATGTTGTTCAATGAGTATGAGTCAATATTGCTGGATTGAAGGTATAGATACATTTTAATTCTCAAGGGAGGTACTTTAATTAGTCAAAAACCAAGGGAACCACTCAAGGTTCTGTTGTCGTCAAACTTTCCTTGGTTCGAATTTAGCATGCGCTCCCAAAGTAATCTTGTACTAAAGTGTGTGTCTGTAATCACCATAGGATGTTCTAATCATCTTTATTAAAGTATATCGAACAAGTGCTACTGAAAAAAAAAAAAAAAAACCACACTAGTGTGTAAAAACACTTGATAGAGGAACACTTCCAAATGATCACTCTTAATCATGTATAATGCTAGTATTGTGCAGGCTGACGATCCATCGATTGCCTGGTGGCTGAGAGTAACTTAGCTTTAGATGGATCACCACGATTACATTTTGGTCCAATAACACAAGGCCACACTGACGTCACCGTGGTGTACTGCGTTTGGTATACTGGAAGAGATTAGATTTAGGGCCAAACTGCATGTACGCGCTCGCAATCTAAATAACATTGCAAGGAAGAAATTATTTTGAATTCATTTGATCAAATGTGTTCTAGTTTTCGCAGCAAATTTAGCCAAGTTGTCGAATCCAAATCACTTCTTTTGAATTCCTTCACCCAAATGAAGCCTTCGATTTGGAAAATTTAAAAATAAATTAAAAAAAAAAAAAAAAAAAAAGTTGAAACATGGTGGAGTTTGAGCTGCTTCTTTAGCTCAAATGGCCTGCATCAGCATGCAAACCACGTATCAGTGCCTCCTTTGGCCTCCGATTCGTGTAAAAAAATTGTTGGACTGAAGGGAGCCGTGCAGAACAGCGCCAGTGCACTACAAATGTCCCTTCCTAAACCCTAGGAAGGGACAATTGAAATTCTGGGACTAAATACAACAGCCTTAACCAAGAGAAGATGGAAGTACTCTATTATCGAAATCCTCTCCAATTGATTTCATTGAATACAGCCGCATGCCAATGAATATATCCGTTAAATTCAGAGACATGAGAGGTAGAGTGAGAAGAAAGAGAGAGGTACCTAAAAAGGAAGCATCCTTCCAAACTATTGTTTCTGACCTACTTGATCGTTATGTAGCGATTTGTCCCATGTCTGGACCAATATTCTTTCAAATCCAGCGGTATTGACAAATCATGACCATCCGCTGCTAGCCGACTAAGCAATCTAGTAAAAACATTTCCGCTCATCTTCCGCCCACCCATCCGGGCATGGCGCTTATTTGGCATCTGAGGTAGTGGATACATCGACATATGGGTGGTGCAACAAGATGACTGCCACCCGCCATTCCCCCATTTGTAGCACTGCCGTGGAATTCCAGTGCATGAACACACTGGCACTGGCATTGCAGACTCGTCAAAAGTGACAAGATTCAAACCCAAATCATGAGCATCCCACTCTGATCTATACTTTATCCCATCCGAGGAAGCCTGTCTATTTAAATCTTCGCCTACTTTCTTCCGTGACTGCCTTGCCCTGGATGCCTTGTTCTCCTTTGCTCGCTTTGTCTGACGTGACTTGACATCTTCAGTAGATATAAGTGAAACTGGGTAGGCCTCAGTTATATGCATATCTTTTGTGCTGTAATGAGAATCAGCCAGGGTAACTGAATGGTTTGAGGTACGGTGCATGCGTTTAGCTCCACGTGGAGCCCCACCACCCAATGGGAAGTTGACAGCATTATCCCGTGAATGAAGGGCTGCATAGGCGTTGTCCCGTTCCATCATGGCACTATCACGCTGAGCAAGTGCCTCATCTCGCTGACGGAGAGCCTCATCTCTTGCAGCCAAGGCTTCATTCTTTTCAGCAAGTGCTGCATTCCGTTCTCGAATAGCAGCATCCCTTTCAGCAATGATGGACATGATCTTCTTGTTCATGACTAAGGCATTTGGTTCCTTCGCTTGCTGTTGGGCCATCATATTCCACTGCACATTTCAATTCTACCCCATTCAAATGGATCTATAATTGCACAAGGAAACAAACATATTAACAGCAGATAGTAAGACATGCTTTCTTCTTACCGGAGGTGCTGTCCCCCCTCTGTAATAGTCCATCTTGTGTCTCCCATTTTCATGTTGCCGACCATCATCCATTTTTTAATAATAAGCAGCAAGTCCTGAAAATTTTAGCCACTAAACATTTGTTAACATCAAGTTAAAAACTTAAAAACATAACAAAGTAAAGGATCAAAGGGGTTGGGGATGATCCTAGAGGTGGTGGTGGATTTGGGAGAAGAGACAGAGGGTGGGGTGGAGATGTAGTGGGAGCAGGACTGTGGGAGTCGAAGAGAGACAGAGGAAGAGAGAAGGCTGAGATAATTAAGAAAAAACAAAATATTATTTAACTATTTTTATTCCACATGGAAAATTTGGTGGGTCAAACTGATGCCACCTCATCACTTAACAGACCAGTTGACAGGAAAACTAACGGAAGTTTGAAAGTGTCAGAAAATTAAACTTTAGGTATGAAAGTGAGACAAAAAAAAGTGTAATAAAGTGCAATTTTGGCAAAACTTAAGGGTAGTATAGTAGAAGTTACGCTTATTTATATTAGAGACAGAAAGAAGTTTGAAATCTTTTCAGATTTTGAGGAGTAAAATGACATCTGGAAGTAAATTCAATTCCGTAGAGCACCTACATGCCTTTGTAAAAAGCACCAATCTCACGAAACAATGCCATAAATCACAGAAACAGCTCAATCCTCTAGCTATTAGAGAAAAGCTTGTTGTGAGTGTGAAATGTGAACGTATCACAGAAGCAGACTCTTAAAAGCAATTACAAACCCAAAACACATTTGTCTTGTTTACAAACCCAAAACACATTAGTCTTCTCAAGAAGAACATTTACATATAACCATCTCGCCAAATTAGTCAAAAGTTACGCTACAAAAAAATGGCCATATTACTTAAATGTTATCATATAGCACCATCAAGTCAAATTCTACCTAAAACAGAAATATAGCTCTAATAGCATGTAGAGTAGTTCTAATGATATTGGAAATTCTTCTGTATCTTACTTCATGAAGAAGACAACAAAATGAAGAGGTGCAGCGCCCGTCAGATGCTCGCAGTAAACTACAACTGCTAATAGCATCATCACCTCATTTGGTCACTCCCTAACCATAGAATGATGTTATTAACCTATCCAAATCAAATCATATACTAAAAAGTAATTCAAATAGAATGAAGAATTGTTCTAATGATATTGACGTTGCTTCTGTAGGTTAGTTCATGAAGAAGACTTAGAAAAGGGTGCAAGGTCAATCAGAGATTAGAGAAAGTTACAACTACTAATAGCATCACCACCTGAGACCTGACCACAGAATCATGCTATTAAATTAATAAATCAAACAAGAACTTCAAATATCTCAACTAGCACCGAACAGTTCTAATGACATGGACATTGCTTTTGCAGCTTACTTCACAATGAAAACAAGAAACAGAAGAGGGTACAATGTCAAGCTTAAGAAAGTTATAAGTGCTGACAGCATCACCACATGATCATAGAGTCACCGTAAACATGAAATTCTGTAAGATAGTTCTCTCACTATCTCTCTGACCATATCACAGTCAAAAGGGTAATATTTATTTGATAATAGCCTCACCACATGATATCTATACTCTCTCTAATTTTATTTTCTTTATTAGTAGTTGGTAATATTTACATCCCAAACCATACCACTTGTGCTAAATCAAAAAGAGCACCTGCCATTGTTATTAAAATTCTTCGATTCTAATCGTCCAAATACAAAGTGTTGAAGTCTGGCACAAAATACATTGTTTAGGCAGAAATTGACCCAGGTGGACTGATTGTGCTGTTTATTGAAACATAAAGCACCTTTATTAAATGCAAATACAACTAGCAAGAATATGGGTTAGTCAAACAGCATCAATAATAACAAAGAAACTGTAAAAATACAATGAGTTCTACTAATTTTCATATTAATTCTTTAGAAAGTGTAAGATACACATGCTAAGCAAGCAACAAAAGACACTATTTTACATTTGGAACACAATAAGAAAATTAGAATACTGCAACACTTACCCTTTCCTCCTCTCCTGCTATATGCTGACTGTATACCATGAATGCGTCCCCATGCTTAATACAGCTAAGTAACAGGTACACAATAAGTCGCAAACGTGTTGCAGTTAGCACATATTGGATCCTATCTGAAATGCTCGAAAGGAAAACAGAAGCAAATGAATTAGTTGGAGGCACACTCTGCAAGAACATAACATGTGCACGCTCACACACACACACACACACACAGGCACAGAGCATGCTTAAACTAAAACATAGGTACCCATAATTCTAGTGAGTGTGATAAACAAGCAAGGTCCAGTCCTAACTTAAAAGTAAAATGTCCTTACACATTAAGGGCACCCATCATTAAAATGACCACACGAGGGTGTGCTTTTTTTTTTGTTTTCTTTGGGGGGAGGAGGAGGAGGAGGAGGGGAGGGGGGGGGGGGGTGTGGTGGTTGGTGGTGGGTAAGTAACATAAAGAAAAAGATATCTTTCTGAAACTATAGCATTGTGAAATCATTCGGAACATGCAAGTACCCGAATTAGTGGAATCTTTGCACTAAATGTGTATTTTACGATAATGGAAAACTACAATACTTGAAAAGAAAATTAAGAAAAGAAAGAAATCGATATCCTTTTGTCTGTTTCCCTCGTCCTCTCACCTTGCACTTACTTTCCTACATATGCATAGCAGAGTCCACTTCTTGAAAGACTCACGAGTCATAACCATAACTCTAAACATTTAGGGCCTGTTTGTATTCAACTTGAATCCAATTTTTTTAACTCAAAAACAGTTTTTGAGTCTCAAGCCTAAAATTCTTATTTGGTAGGACTATTTTGAAAAATTGAACCCAAAACCAACTTGTAGATATAGCTTACTTCATGAAAACATAAAACGTCTGTTTTTAGAATTTTTAAAACTAAAAGCCCACTCTTATCCCCTCTTTTCAGATCCTCTTGTCTCCATCCTCTCTCTCTCTTCTCAGTCTTATCTCGTTATCTCTCTTCCTCTCGCTCCCTGATCTCTTCTCTCATTTGAACCGTTCTCTTTGTCTCTCTCCTTCTAGATCCTCTCTCCACTCTCTGTTTCTCCCTCTCTTCCAATTTTCTCTGTCCCTCTTGAGGTCCTCTGCCTTGGGCCCCCAGTAGACCTCCGTCAGCTCCAGCAGGGAGTTTGCTGGCAGATTTTTTTTTTATTTTTAAAATTGTTAAAACTTAAAAACAATTTTGTCTCATACAAAACAAGTTTTTGAGTTTCATAAAGAACTGTTCTTAACAAATGGTCTTAAGAAATATTTTTAAAAGTTTATGAAATTTGTTAGTAGGATACCAAACGGGCCCTTAGTTTTACTTTCTAGTTTGAATTCAGTTCACCATACTTTAACCAATGTATGCTTTTCTAAAATATACTTAAACAGACCAAGCTAATCCAATTCTAAGCTATTCAGTAACATATGGTATCAAAAGTGAACAACAAGTCACTCGTCACTATGTTTAATATTCACAAAAATCAGTTACAAACTTAAGCAGTTTGTTGCAGTTCTCAACGCCTATAAACAACCATTACTAGAGCTAAAAATATTCTTTTTTTTTTACAAGAAATAAATGATTTCACAGCCTAACTCTCTGACGCGATCCATCTTTTCCATTGCCAAAACAGTAGCAAGACATTTTCTTTTGTTATTTTTGTTCAAATTGATTAAATCAAAATCCTAAATGCAATTACTAATCTCTCAGTTAAATTATACCATGTATCTTTACAAAAACAAACCAGCAAACAAGCACTCACTCTCTTTCTCTTGCAAACTAACTCAACCTGCTAATATCCAAACAAGTATGAGGCTATGGGCTAAATGTACGCAACTACGGAGTACACAACTCAATCTCAGTCAAAATCTTCAGATGTCGATGAGAAAAAAGGGTTTAACAACCTAACTCTCCAGTTCGAATCCACTACTTATCTCTCTATCACATTATACCGCAGCAAGAGTATTTCAAATGTTGTTCAAATTGATTAAATCAAAATCTTAGATTCAACTATTAATCTCTCTATTAAATTAACCTCAATTCTTGATCAAGATTAGCCTAGTTAATCACACTAACTAAACGTGCAACATATCAAAGTGTTAAAAGGACAAAGAAGAAAGAAGAAACAGTAATTCAAAACAGCATGAGCTTGAAGCAATCTTACAAAGATTAAACAGCTCAATCTCAGTCAAAACAAGAGCTAATTTCAGTAGAAATTTCCATTTTCAAAGCAACAAGCAAGAAATGTGTATCGAAATGAAAATTGAATGATAAAAATCCACGAATTCGAATTTCCAGCGCTGGAGCTTCACTGAGATTAGGTTTTCCAGCAGAAAATTTCGAATGAGGATCTCCGAGATTGAAGCTCGAAAGCTTGGAAGCTCGAAGCGTAGAGAGTGTAAAGGAGGCGAACTCACAGAAATTGAAGAATCCGCATCGGTTCCGATCGATTCGCGTACTTTCAAGTTTCAAGTTTGAAGAGGTTCCGTTTTCTGAAAAAACAAACAGTCGCTGAGAGTGAGGAGAGAGGGCGTGGTGCGCATGTGTTTCTGTTGTGCTATGACAAAATTACCACCAAAAGCTGAACAAGACACCTTTGTTCAAGAAATTTTTTAGTATGCCAAGAATATGACTAGGTATACTTAATGTCACAATATAATTAGTCAAGATTTTTTGATAGAATGTTATTATACTCATCTCAATATCTTATCTTCCCATCCTACTTTTTATTAAATTTTTAATGACTAATATATCCTTTCATAAAATGACATATAAGGACAGTAAAAAAGGAAGCGCCAATCCCCATCCCTAGCAATTTAGCACACTGCTCGCATCCCATTTTATCATCTCCTCCGATCTTTTCCAAAACTCCAACCCCCAGAATGGACAAAACGATTAAGCATGCTACTGTGATCATAACTACGACGGACTGGATCTCGTGGACAGGTGACAAAAGTGAGGGTTATGTTTCTCTTACTTTGTGTTGGTGAATGGCAAAGAAAGAGAGGAAGGGGATGAGGTATTTGGAGGGAAGACGATTATTGCGGATTGAGATGCCACTACCGTTGCTGCTACCCAGGCATAGGCAGAGCGTGCAAATTGCAATGGAAGTGCAGAGTATGTGTATGATTGTATCAAGTGACTGACGAGCTCGGCATTTTCCTTTCTATTTTGTTTCAAAATTGTTAAACAAAAGCCCCATGTTGATTAGAAGTATATTGTAATCTGTCAAATAATGTGATAATTGTAATCTTGTGTATTCGATACAGATGGAAACTCAGTATTCCAGTAGGACTCTTGTAACTCAAACTAATTATTTATACCAATGAATGTAGCAATTAGGGGAGGGTGCGATGCAATTCAGTGCGGTTTCGAGTGAAACTGCAACCGAAACCAAAACTTTTTGCGGTGCGGTTTTGAAGCCAAAACCGAAATGAAACCAAACCATTTGGTTCGGTTCGGTGTGGTTTCACTCGAAACTGCACCACACCCACCCTTAATTGTTGCATTCATCGATATAAATAATTAGTTTGAGTTATAAACAGTTTCGGTTCGATTTTTGATTGAGCTGCACCACTATCGTTATGAATGAGGACAAGAACTTTCTAATGCATTGGGTTGACTTTGAGAAGCAAAGGGCTCTTGTTTTTTTTTGGAGAAGATGTTCTTCTTCCAAAAAAAGGTAATGGACTCCCTTCTCTGCCAAAGCAATTTTCACTTTCATGACATAAGGACTTGTCCAGAATCCCACAAGTGAAGCAAAAACGGCAACAACAATGCAGCAAAAACATTCAATATATGGTGCGGTTTCGGTTTTGGTGCGATTTTGAAAACCCAAAATCGAAACCAAACCGTTTTCTTTGCCATGGTTCAATTTCGAAACCACAACCGTTTCAAACCGTAAAACCAAACCATTTGGTGCGGTCCGATTCGATTCGTGTTTCGATTTCGGTTTTCGGTTCTAAGTGCCCACCCTTAGCAGCAATGAAAGCCAACTTTTCCATCATATTTGAAAATATTATTTAAAGAATTGAAAATAGAATGCAGAAAATGTTACAGGAGAAGGAAATCAAGAATTGATATGATAGGATCTAGGCTTTAATTAAGCCACCAGTAATGATCGAAATAAAAGGCCAAAAAGCAGGGTGTTGGGGGGGGGGGGGGCGTAAGGGTGCTTTGGGAATAATAGTGGGCGGGTAAATAGTATGGGTTTCATTTTACTTTTTTATGGTGGGTGGGAATATAAGGTGGGTGGAAAGATAAGACATTGGGGTGAGTATATAAACACCTTTTTGATATGGTAGTCAGTGTTTCTATCACCCTGGAATTTTTTTTTAGTGCAATTTTATTACTCGATTTTAGTCCCAGACACCCAAAAATGGATATTAGAGTTGGTTATGTCAACTCATGACATCGTTTTTGAAAAAAAATAGTTGTTTAAAGTTAATCATTTTTACTTGAAATAATAAAAGACCTATTAACCCACCCTCCTTCTAATCGTACTATATATATCGCCTCATAAATTGGAGCTCCTAACTTTACACATATTGCTTTATTGACTATAACAATATTGACCTAAACACACAATTAAAAGAGCAATAAAGTGCGGGATGTACGCTAAGCACACAATCGTATGGGTCAGGCAAGTACTCGACAAAATGCCTCACTGAAAAAAATGGGAAAAAATATACTTGGCGATACCTGTGCTATTGTTGGATGTAACGAGGATAGAATCTTGCATCTACCACTACTTAATTGTGCTCCCGATAAACTAACTTTCTAGCTTCGACCATGTTTTGGTCTAAATATATTTTTTCTTAGGGAACTTTAACGAAAAGCCCCCGGTATTGTTTACTTTAACAAAAAACCATATGTTTACACTAAAAAATCAATCCTGGTACTATTCACTTTACACTTTATTTTGTCCTTATCGTTAAAACTCAAAATTTTCAAGTCATTTTCATTAGTTTTCCTTTTTTCTTATTCCTTAAATTAGAGAAATTTTTAGATGCAGACAATTTATTTCGGCTTAGTTTCACGTCGCTGTGCAAAAAAATTACTTTTTGAAGTGCTATGTGGGAAATTAGGTGAGGAAAAAAAAAATCTGGCATCAGGTAACTAAAGTTTATATTTGATGTGAGCATAACTAGCAATTTATTAATGTTTGATAAATTTTATGTAAAAGTAGAGTAGATGTATAATAACTAGAAAAAGCATTATTTTGAAATAATGCTTCAAATCAACTATATGGTTTTATGGTTTGAAACAAAAAAGAGTAAATTATATTTTACCATCTCATATTTGGATGCAATTATAACCTCATATAAAATCTTTAAAACATTTCAATCTCATACATTTATTTATCATTTTACTTCGATCTGATACAATCGTTGGAAATCTGTTAAGTTAGCTGTTAAGTGATCACGTGGTAACAATGGGTTCAGCATTTATGCTAACTAATAAAAGATATCTAGTTAAATTACATTTTGCACCCTCATCTATAAAACATTTCAATCTCATACATTTACTTATTATTTATTTCAATGTCATACATCTCTCTCAAATTTTGTTAGTTTCTTCATTATTTGTCTATATGAATGTCGTGGGTCCCACAACAAGAGAGGTGCATTGATGTTGGGGAAAAGGGTGGTGCGACCTTGTAGGTTGGGAAGATATGGTTTTAGGTTTCTTTTTATTTGTTATTTCAAAATTGTCTCGATTCAAAACAAGAATGAATGTCTCGATTCAAAATTGTCAACCAACAACTATAGAGTGCATCTCTGAGTATTTGATGCAACATTAATTAACCAAAAGGCTTACTAACATGATCCCTTGAAGAACAAGTCTGGAATCCACCAGAAAAATTAAGAGAATCCTGAGCCATTGTTTGTTTAACTGATGATTGAATGGATACATTGAAGCGGTCAAATGCTTTAAGTAGACTGATTACAACTCCTTGAACAATTCAAAGGGCTCAAACAATTAAACGACATTATTTCAACATTAATCAAATGACAACTCAAAGGTCAAATTTTTATTGCGAAAATTAAAATTATGTTTAGGAGGCTGAAACTATCCCAGATGACCAAAAATTATTTTATATCACAAGTTCGGACGCCAAATCTGCAAATTATCACTGCATCCATTTGTCTTTTGACAATCCATTTCCTTTTTTATCCACTTTGTCATTTATTCTACATCAGTCTTCTCCACTTCAGAAGAACTTGAGTTAGGGTCAAGAAAAAGAACTTCATCGTACTTGAACTTATTGCAAACATTGAAAGTATTAGAAATTCCCATAGAATCCGACAAGCCAGTAACATGAGCATTGTCATTAATTTGCTTAAGAACTTTGAATGGACCATATTTCCGTGACTTTAATTTGCTATAAGTTTCAGCATGGAAACTCTCTCTCCTAAAAAACACCATGATAGAATGTCCTTCTTGAAATATTTTAACTCATTATGCTTGTCAGCTATCGCCTTATATTTGGCATTGGTTTGCTCAAATCGCTGTTTGACCTCATCATGAATTGCCACCACATTTTTCACCATATTTTTGCAACAACACTAACTCCATAACCTTTAGGCAGTTTCACCAAATCCGCCATATAGTGAGGAATGACAGTGTAAATAGTGAAAACGGTGATTTCACCGTTGCATGATAAACATCATTATTATATGCAAACTCTATCTGAGGCAGGGCATAGTACCACTGTTTTGAATTTTCTCCATAAATGCTTTGAACCATGTTGCCAAGAGTCTTGTTGGTAATCTCTGTTTATTCATCAGTTTGGAGAGTTGTTGTAGTACTTCGATTCAAAGTAGTCCCAAACATTCTCCACAATGTAATTAAAAATGACTTAAGAATTTGGCGTATCGGTCAAAACTAATGGACTTAGGTACTCTATGCAATCAAACAACCTCCCTAAAAAATAGTGGCTGTGTTTAATGCATTAGCAATTTTTCTGCAAGTAATGAAATAAGCCACCTTGAAGAACTTGTCAACCACAACAAAAACCAAATCCATTCCTCTTTACATTTGGGTAGCCCAAGCACAAAATTCATAGCAAGGTTTTGCTAAATGTCTTTGGAAGCAGGCAATGGCATGTAAATGCCAGTGCTTTGGAATTGCCCTTTCGAAACCTGGCAAGTAAAACATTTCCGAATAATTGCTCCAACATCTTACTTCAATTGTGGCCAAAAATACCTTTCCTCCAAACTTGCTATCGTTTTCTCAAAGCCAGATGACCCCTTAACCCTCATCCATGCAAATCTCAAATAAACTTCTCCCCCAAGGAAGAGACGGGAATACACAACTAGTCGTTTTTCAATAGAAAACCTACATTGATAAAGTAATCTGCCATAGGCTCATGGTTAATGCACTTCCTCAAGATTTCCTGAAAATCATCTTAAGTTTCATACAACTCCTTCAAGCACTTGAACCCGTCAACTTCCTAGGAAATAATGATCGACAACGACACTCGTCTACTCAAGGCATCAGCAACACGATTTTGAGCTCTAGATTTATAAAACAAATGGAAATTCTGTAAGAAAGTACCCATCTGACATGCATT